TGTAATCATGCTCAGATGCCGAGGAGCTCAGAAGGTGGGCGACTGTGACCAGTGATAGTCATGTATATAGAGATTAGAAATGCATGTGAAAACGTCTCAATGTCAATTGCTTTGGAATGAATTCTTCTGTATGAAAAAAAAAAGTTGTGCTGTAAAGTAAAAAAAAAAAAAATAATAGTGCTTAGAAAAATGTGACAAATTTGTGTCTATAAATAATTGTTTAAACCATAGTTTAATTTTGAGTTTGTTATGTAATTTTGATTTTGTTTTATTTCTACAGTTTAAAGCAGAGTGGAAAGTTTCCTGGCAATCCCTGGCCTCCATATAAGAAAAGGACATCACTCCACCCTAGCTATAAAGGTCTCATGAGACTTTTGCATTGTAAAACTTTACACATTGTGTTATTCACTCTGCTTTACAAGGTACAGTAGTAATTTTACTATGACTTAGATTATAGTTTATTTTTGTAATTTTCAAATAAAAGTGCTAAAGAATATTTACACAAAAGTACCATTTATAAAGCAGAGTATGTTTATAAATTTAAGATGTTTAAGGATCAATTATAATCACATGTATTTGAATTCCAAGTTGAAAGTAACCAAATAGCTATACCTCTTTGTGGAACAATGTTTGTTTCTAACTCGGCTTCAGATGGGAATATTTATGTATGACTTCTGTAGCGTAGGAAGTGAAATGTGTGGGGCTATGAGAACAATGGAGTAAACCAAGGGTCCAAGTAGTCACTGAACCCATCAAGTAACAAAACTGAAATATCAGCTCTGCAAACTGTACATACTTTAAAGTGGTTCTCATTGCTCTTTATCTCTCATTAGTTACTCCAGAAGAGGAGGGGTTTGGGTGGGGTTCTATGTGGCAACATAAAAATGTTTCTTATTTTTGGTAAAAAACATCTTTAGAAACTCAGAACATCCTTTACTTTCCTGTTACCTAGAATTTGTTTTATTTTGGGTTCTTCTTAGATAAAACTGGCTTATTTGACTAATTGTAATTGTGTACTAAAAATTACATAAAGTATATTATGGAGTGAATGTGTATTTATGTATATATGTATGTTTGCAAGTGCACATGTGTTGTGCAATGGCTGTCAGAAGAGGGTGTTAGATCCCCTGGAACTGGAATTATACACACTGGGATTTTTATGATTTAAACTGTATAAGAAAGATAAAATAACTATACCCATTTCATATAGATCAGATAACTAAACATCTATAAAGTAATAAATAAACATAAGTATTATGAAATTAGAAATAAAATACAATTTTTTCCTTAATTTGAAAATTTAAAAATAAAAGAAATTCAAAGAAAACTAAGCATAGTCATCATATAGATCTCCATTGACTATGCAGAAATATTTATTATTTAAGAACTATGCATTCATTTAGTTAAGTTTTCTTGTAGCGCTTACCATGTAACAAAATAATGCCTTCAGGTTTCCTTTAGATTTCCATTTCTTTTTTTTTTTCTTTCAGATAGGGTTTCACTGTTGCCCTAGCTGACCTTGGTCTCACAGAGCTCTGCTTACACCTGTCTCCCAAGTCCTGGGATTAAAGGCCTATACCACCACGCCTGGCTTTTTTGTATCCTTCTTTTCAGCTTCACTCATAACCAATTTTTCATTTTACTTATAAAAGTTAAAAGTTACTTTAGTTAGCTGGGCGTGATGGTGCACACCTTTGATGTTAGCACTCAGGAGGCAGAGGCAGGTTCAAGGCCAGCCTGGTCTACACAGTGAGTTCCGAGCCAGCTGGAGCTACAGGGAGACCCTGTCTGAAAAGCATTAAAAAAAAGAAGTTGCTTTAGCTAAGATTTAGACCAGTGTCTGAAAAAAAAAAGCCCTGAAAAATTCATTATTATTACTATCTAAGTGGATTATTCAGAAAAATTATTTAAAGTGCACCTTCATTAAAATGTCTTTTATCTTTTCATACTGAAAAGCAATTTGTATTTTATAAATAGACATTATTGGCCGGGCGTGGTGGCGCACACTTTTAATCCCAGCACTTGGGAGGCAGAGGCAGGTGGGATCCTCTGTGAGTTTGAGGCCAGCTTGGGCTACAGAGTGAGTACCAGGCAGCTGGAGCTACAGGGAGACCCTGTCTCAAAAAGACCAAAAAAATAGACATTATTGAAGGATTCCTCAGAGCTAGATTTTCCCACTGTTAATGTGTATATGGTTGTTGACATTATTGTATTTAATTCTAGCAAAATTCTGTATGAATAAATCTGTTGTTATTCTCAGTTTTCAGTGTGAGTTTTAGAAGTTAAATAGAAATGAAGGAAGCCTTGCTGAAAATGACTTACCATCTTTCAAGTTATACTTTTCCAACTTTTAAATTTTACTTAATTACTTTATCAGAGGTAAAAAGTCAGTGTTTGAATTGTTTCAAGAATATTATGACTAAATTTTAAAATTTGTAATAGTGTTTTTGATATAAACAATTATAATAAAAAAGCTCTCTAATTGCCAAGCATTGGCAAGTCATCTTTACAGAAATCTGTTGCAGCAAACCACCATCAACTCCTGCTATGTTTAATACTAAAGAGCATGGCAAAATGTTCCAGAAAAATCACTTCTTTTTAAATCCTTAGTTTTCATATTACAGTTAAAACTATAATACTGCAGGATTTCAAGTAAATTTTTTTTGGTCTTTTTGAGACAGGGTCTCCCTGTAGCCTCAGCTGGTGCCTGGATTTGCTGTGGAGACCGGGCTGGCCTTGAACTCACAGAGATCTGCCTGCCTCTGCCTCCCAAGTGCTGGGATTAAAGGCGTGTGCCACCATGCCTGGCTAAGTACAATTTCTTTTGAATTTAGATAGTAATGCTTTATTTATCGAGAGGAGATAGTAACCACAACCATTGTCCTGGGAGGCTGCAATCTGTGTAGTGTTGCTTAGACAAGGTGAGTTTGTGGCTAAGCCTTGCTTTCCCTCCATGAAGTATTAGGTTAGAAAGGGTGATCTCTGGTGGCTCCCAGCTTTCAGTTCCCTGCTTGGGCTACTTCTGCTCTTCACACTGTTGGTGCTGCCTACCTATTGCTAGGTACTGTAGTAAGCAAATAGCAGATGTTAACACATGTCTGCCTCCAACAATTCTGTACTGTTTTTCCAGACTTAAAGATGGAAAAATTAAGGCCAAAGATTGTTGCTACAGCTCAAATAGGTATATATAGAGTCTGTGTTAGGAAATGAGGTTTTAAAAAGTTTTAAGAGCCATTAATCGTCCAAGAGCTAAATGGAGAAACCCTCTCATTTGTCAAAGTAAATATTAGAAAGTCTGTTAGTGAACATCTGTATTCTTTAGATACAGTAATTAGGTCTTTCCTTATCCCCTATTCATTTGGACTGTTACTGTGAGGCTCAGCTTAGCCTCCCTTCTTTGCACTCTCTCTTACCTCCCACACAGCTGACATGGCCACTCCTTGCTGAACTTTTTCTTCTACCCCTTCCATCATTTGGCCTTTTTAATAATGAGAACAAGATGATAGATACCTCACCATTTTGTTCCTCTAGTATCTTAGGTATCCTTTGATCATTGGTCTGTTACATCATCTAGAATGAGTGACTGACTGGTGGAGGTAGTCCTAAAATCCTATAGAAGATGAGTCAGGCTTAAACTGTATAATCTGTGTGTAACATTTTGCTTAGAGAAGCCCCTCTACTAATCACTTGCATTCCTTTTTCCTTTCTAATTATAAAAACTACACATTGGCTTACATACTTATACAGCCACACATAGTACTCAGAGGTCCAGAACTTTAATTTTAAAGACAGAATTGGTAAACATGAATGTTTCATAAATAGTTGTTATGTTCCTGATTATATGCTAGGTGCTAATGCTAAGCATATTTTCGTTTCCTGTGTTATCCTGGTTAGCCAATTTTTTTTTTGGTACTCTTATCTTCAGGAGGTAGCAGACTAGGATATAAGGTATTCTTGCTAAATTATTTTATTAAATACAGGTATATTGATTTTTGTGGACTGTTTAATGTGGTACTCTTTAGGAAATATTCAAATTGCTACTTCTAGATAATGGTTAAAATTCCTATATAGGGGCTGGAGAGATGACTTAAGTGGTTAAGAGTATATACTGCTCTCGTAGAGGGCCTGAGTCATGTTCCTAGTACCTACGTCATGTGGCTCACAACCACCTGTAACTCCAGCTGCAGAGGATCCAACACCTTCCTCTGACCTCTGTGCATTCATGTGCAAGTCCCTCACACCCCCCTTTCCCCCCAAATATGGACACATATGCAGGCACATAATTAAAAATAAAAAACTCTTAAGAAAAAGTTGTACGTAATCTTCAAGGAAAATTGTTTCTCATGTATTTTTCACTAAGATGTAGCTTCATGTGTGTATCTGATATTTATCTGATTATGGTTTTCATCTGTAATAAAATGTTTTTGGATTTTTAATTGAAATATGTTTTATATAAAAAGTAATTCTGGCCGGGCATGGTGGCGCACGCTTTTAATCCTAGCACTCGGGAGGCAGAGGCAGGCGGATCGCTGTGAGTTCAAGGCCAGCCTGGTCTACATAGTGAGTTCCAGGACAGCTGGGGCTACAGGGAGACCCTGTCTCAAAAAGACCAAAAAAAAAAAAAAAAAAAGTAATTCTGAGATATTTTCTTTCCTTTTTAAAGATTCTGATGGATCATCAAAATCTGTCAGAACATGTGCTCTGCATGGTTTTATATCTGATTGAATTAGGACTTGAAAATTCTGCTGAGGATGAATCTGAGGAAGAGGTAAGTAATGTCTTCTAATTTAGAATTTTTAGATAGGAAGCAATTTCTATCTGTCTTGAGACAGTTGTTTCCAAGCTAGAGTATAAGTATATGTATGGATTAATCTTGAAGTGTATTTATGAATTTGTCACTGTTAGATATAAGAGCTACTAGAGAAGGTCTTATTAATTAATTTTGTGTGTGTGCACACGCTTGCGCGTACCATGATGCATATGTGGAGGTCAGAGGACAACTTGTAGGAGTCAATTCTCTCCTTCCAGAACCATGTGGTACCTGGAGATGGTCATTAGGCTTGACAGCGAGTACCTTTACCCACTGAGCCAATTTCCTGGCCCTAAAGACCCTATTTTTCTTTGTTTTTAATTGTTAAAATTTTTATTTTTATTTTATGTGTATGAGTGTTTTGCCTGTATGTATGTAAGTGCACCACATGTGTGCAGTGCCTATGGAGATCAGAAGAACGTGCTAGATCTCCTGGAACTGGTGTTACTGTGGACTGTTAGCTGCCATATAGATGGTGGGAATTGAACTCCAGTCCTCTGCAAGAGCAGCCAGTGGTCTTAACTGCTGAGCATCTCTCCAGCCCCAAAAGACCCTATTCTTAAAATGCATGTCATCCTTTAGAGCTTTCATTGATACTTAAGGAATTAATTTTACTTGGAACTATTGAATTTGAAGATTTATTGTTCACATATGTATTATGTATTTTTTTCTGTTATGGTAAGAACAGTGGTTATGAGTAAGTAGTTACTAAGTTAGGACTTCAGTTTAAAATGCTAATGCCTTGATTTGGGATTAATTTTGAGTGCCATAGTCTTTGTATGAAGATTTTAAAGGTCGCCTGGTGAGATGGCTCAGCTGGTAAAAATGTCTGCCACCAAATCTGATGACCTGAGTTCAATACTTAGAACCCATGTGGGAGAAGGCGAGAACTCCTACAAGTTGTCCTCTGACCTCCACACATGTGTCTTGGCACACATGTGCACACACACTAGATAAATGTAATAAAAATCCTAAATAAGACTTAACAAATATAATGGAATAAAATACTTAAGAATATGTTTTTAATGTGTTTTCAGTGCTCTATAAGTATCAATCAGTCATTGCTATGAACGAATTTTACAAAGATTCTTGGTGAAATACAGTGATTCAGGCTCCTTCCAAATCAGCATATATTCTTTCATAGGTATTTCAAGATCATTAAGATTTCTCTGACTATTCATGCTTTTGTTCAGTTTTTTTTGGCCCTTCTCATTAGCCCAAGCTAGCATTATTTGACTGTATTATGAGTTATTATTAGTGAATGATAAGTATTCTGTAGCATTAAGTATTTCTATATTAAAAGATGCTGGGCGTGGTGGTGCACACCTTTAATCCCAGCACTCAGGAGGCAAAGGCAGGCGGATCTCCTGGTCTACATAGTGGGTTCCAGGACAGCTGGGGCTACAAGGAGACCCTGTCTCAAAAAGACAAAAAAAAAAAAAAAAGTTATATTTTCTTAGGAGATACTTTGCTAATTTCACTGGACTGCAAAATTTGCGAACTTTATTCCTACATTTTGTGCTTGAAATTGACTATTTAAATTTAAATTTGTCCACTTTATAATTTAAGGATGAGATGTATAAGAGATTCAGGAGTATAACAGATAGTGGATAATTATTTGGGCTTGTATCTCAGACCAGACAAGTGTTTATTTGTTTATTTACTTAATATGTTTTAGGTATCAGTGGGTGGACCAGAACGTTGTCATGACAGCTGGTTCCCTGGCAGTAACTTAGTATCCAACATGCGACACTTTATAAACTATGTTAGGGTGAGAGTTCCAGAGACTGCTCCTGAAGTGAAGAGAGACTTACCTGCAAGCACTAGCTCTGACAGCCTGGGTTCTTTACAAGTAAGTGTAAAATAGAGGAAGATGAAAGAAAAGGTTTATGTTATACTGGGATCTGTTACTTAGATCACTGTATGGAATCCAAAAGAAAAGTCTGGTTAAGAATATCTTTAAATTGTTTTTATGGGGGGCGTGGGCTTTTGGTCCCAGCACTTGGGAGGTAGAGGCAGGTGAATCTCTGTGAGTTCAAGGCCAGCCTGGTCTCCATAGTGAGTTCCAGGACAGCTGGGGCTACAGGAAGACCCTGTTTCAAAAAGAACCCCCCCCCCAAAAAAAAATTGTCTTTATGCCCTGTGATATATCGAAGCCACTTAGCCTTACCAGTCTTTTTCCTTTAACCTGCCAGAGTTCTCGACGACCTAAAGTTCTTCAGAGAGAGGTAGATGTATATGATATTTGCATTAACTAGCAACTTGGCTTAACTGGAAATGAGGAAAACCCCCAAACACTGAAGTATTTGTGTGTGTGTATGTGTGTGTGAGATTAATATGATTAAATTAAAAAATATTTCAATTTTTTTTACTTTTAATAAAATGATTTAAGTTTAAAGACATTTCATATTATTGATTAAAAATAATGCTGAGTGTTTAGTAGTAGATTTTTTTTTATTAGTATTAAAAGTATTTGGGGCCAATTACAGGTGACCCATTTGGATCTGTTTACATTTAACATTGCAACTGTTTTACTAACATCTTAAAAATGACTATTTCCTAAAACAAAGTAAATTTAATTGCTGGCAGCATGCCCACTTAAAAAATGTTTTGGCTTTAATGGCAATTAGTTTTCTGATGAAACAGGTCCATAAATATCTTAGACTCTGTATATTGTGCTTTGGGACTCATTTTGAAAGCAGCTCTTTCATTGCATGATGCTTCATTCATTAATTGCAAAAAATAGAAATGAAAAATATTAAAATGGCATGCCAAATAATTAAGCAGTTTTATTTTCCTACAAACTAGTTTCTAGTGAATAAAGAGAAGTGAATTACACATTTCACTTGATAAAGTCTATTAACTAGCAATGTGGCTTAACTGGAAATGAAGGAAAAAAACCCAAATAATGAAGTATTTATCTATATGTGATTAATATCATTACATTTGAAAACATTTCTTTAATTTTTTTTTTACTTTACTTTTATTCTTTGTTTTGCTTTTGTTGTGAACACTGTAAAGGGTTTTAATTAAGAACTTGGAACCTTTATCAGAGGCAGCTCTTGCCACGAATGCTGTTAAAGAATACTTTTAAAAAAGCGGCTTGAGAGGCTGGAGAGATGGCTCAGTGGCTAAGAACACTGGTTGTTCTTGTAGAAGACCCGAGTTTGGATCCCAGCACTCACATGATAGCTAACAACTGTCTGTAACTCCAGTCCCAGCGTATCCAGCAGTCCTTTCTGACCTCTGCTGGCATTGTACGACACGGGTGCACTTACCTTCATGCAGGCAATACACTCATACACATAAAATAAAAATAATAAAATTGTATTCATGCTCAGATGCCGAGGAGCTCAGAAGGTGGGCGACTGTGACCAGTGATAGTCATAAATAAATAAAATAAAATAAAAAGTAATAAATAAAATATTTTTGAAAAAAAAAACAAAAAAGAAATATCCTTACTGAATATTAAAAAAAAATAATAAAATTAAAAAAAGCAGCTTCAATGTACAAAAAAATTGTATACTATTACTTGATTCACAAAAGCATCTTTTTTATACTTTAGAAAATCATATCTTAAGTAAAAGATGATTTCTAAGAGCACTGATGCTGTTTCCTTTAGCAGGAAGGCTGTTTGGAAGACAAATTATTGAGAAAAACATTTAGTAAAACAAATGTATTTTAATAACAAATATACTACTGTAAAATGTGAAACAAATCAATTCAGTCTTTTATCCTTATATTTAAATTTAATAACTTTAAGTATTTGTTAGTAATTTTCAAACTTTTGAAATTCTTTAAAAGTGAAATTAATTTTCAGCTTAGATTCAATAACTTAGAAAATTTTTAAAAATTAACTTATTTTCCTACCTGGAAACTGTAGCAGGTTTTCAGAAGTTCATGAAGAGTGCCAAGCATGTACTTAATGGGAGTTTGAGACCAGCCGGGTCTACGTTACATAACAGGTTCCAGGCCAGCCAGGGCTTCATAGTGAGATCCTGTCTCAAACCCTCCCCCTACAAAAAGTAGAGAGTATATATAGTTTTCTTCCTTTAAATTTAGAAATTAGTTTTTGATTTTTCTCTAATATGGCTGCAGATAATGCATAATCTTTATTTTCTATGGTACACACACTCAGGTTACACAGAGAGGCCATTGTCAATAACCTCTTTTCCTCACTGCTGTTTGCAGATTGACTGGTACTAAATCTGCTTGGGAAAGGGAGGTGAAAGGGACAGGTTTATTTAAGGAGGAAATCTATTGAAGAGATCTTTGGATGAAATTGTAAGCATTCTGTTTGGAAAAATACAGTATATTTGTAGAATTGGTATTCAATAACATTTTTCTTTTTTCATTTTTGTTGGTAGAATTCTGGTACAGCTCAAGTTTTCAGCTTAGTAGCAGAGCGTAGAAAGAAGTTTCAGGAGATCATCAATCGCAGTAGCAGTGAAGCAAATCAGGTGGTCCGCCCCAAAACGTCAAGTAAATGGTCAGCTCCTGGTTCAGCTCCCCAGTTAACCACAGCCATTTTGGAAATTAAGGAAAGCATATTGTCTTTGCTAATTAAACTCCACCACAAACTCTCAGGAAAACAAAACTCCTACTATCCTCCTTGGCTTGATGACATAGAAGTTTTAATCCAGCCAGAAGTCCCTAAATACAACCATGGGGATGGTATAACTGCAGTAGAAAGAATTTTGCTAAAAGCTGCAGTGCAAAGCAGAATGAACAAACGCATCATTGAAGAGATATGCAGGAAAGTGACTCCTCCTGTGCCACCCAAAAAAGTCACTGCCACAGAGAAGAAAACTCTAGACAAGGAGGAAAGGTAATTTTATTGTTAATGTTTAAATATGTGTGGAACAGTTGAAGATTCGATTGGATTTTTCTCTTTTTTTTTTTTTTTGGTCAGCTAGGGCTAACTACCTGGTTAATTTAGGTATAACAATCACAGCTGTTTAGTTTATAATGTAATGGTTGAACCATAGCCATTGCTTATGTGTGTGGTATCTGAATTCCTTGGGGAGAAAAGATGAGAGTTGCTGACTCCAACATTAAGTTACCATTTAAAGTTGGAAGCTTCTTTATAATCATTGTTATTACAGCTATTGCTATGGATCTAAGAAATCTTGTGCTGTTAAAATGGTTATTAATTTAACTTCAAATAAGAATAGAAGTATTTTAAGTATTTTTAAGTTTATTTTTATTTTATGAGAATGGGTGTTATGCCTGCATGTATGTAAGTGTCATGCAGTACCTGCAGAGGACAGAAGAGGACATTGGATTCCCTGGAACTGGAGTTGTGGATGGTTGTTAGCCTCTATGTGGGTGCTGGAATTTGAACCCAGGTCTTTTGCAAGAGTATCCAGTGCTCTTAACTGCTGAGCCATCTCTCTAGCCCCAGTATTTCCTTTTTAACATTTCCTTCCTTCCTTCCTTCCTTCCTTCCTTCCTTCCTTCCTTCCATGTGTATGTATGTATTTACATGTATGTGTGTGTACATTTATATGTACATTTATATGGAATGGCACATGTGGAGGTCAGAGGACAACTTGTGAAGCCTATTCTCTCCTTCTATCATATGAGTCTTGGAGGATCAAATTTAGATCATCAGACTTAGTGGCAAGCCATCTCAGTAGTCCTTAATATTTCTTAAAATAGAAATCCAACTATTTAAATTTTTTGGCACTTTATCAATACACAATTGCTAATTATTAGAAAAGGTGTTTTAAACACATCCTAACTTATGCCTTTAGCTTTGGGCTTTTAAGTTACTTTTAATTTATTGTTAAATCATTATATTTATAACCCTTTTTCCCTCATCTGTGACTTTCTTGGAATGGTGATTTTTATAAGTGAATTTTGTGGCTCTTGGGGCTTTGAACATGGTTTTAGCTAAGAGAGTTACATGACTCTGCTGTTTCTCAACAACTTTGTTACCATTACCTACTATACTGTCCCTAAACATGACAAAAATGAATCTTGAGACACTGAAATTCAAATGTAGTTGTCAAATTCTTGGGAAAGGTCCAGAATTAGTGAATGATAACATATTTTCTAATGAATATACATAAGACTAAAAGACCAAGGACATACTTCTTTTTCAGATGAAATTTAGTATTGCCATTATTCACTTCTCAGAGGGTGAAAATAATATTCATTGATTTAATTTTTTGGAAATAAATTTATCTACTAATGCAACAATTACATGGTAAGGGTATGTTCTGCCCCTTAAGGACAATTTAAATGGGTCATTTCAATATTAAGAAGCATTAATTTGTCATCTTAGTGTCTTTTATAATAAATAAAAATGATCGTTAATATATGGATTACTCTTGTGAGCATTGTGAGCAAATTAATAGTTTGATGTGCTTCAGAGGTGTTTTCTGGATTAATTTCATCTTCTTGGTTACTTTTAAGATTAAACCTAGTCAAATGTAGGTTGAATGGTTAGTAGAAACCAGCCCAAGGTGATTTGATTATATCGATCTCTTCCCTATTCATTGAGCATCAACCAGGCTCTTCTCTGGAAATAGGATATACATTTGTGTCTAATATGTCTCATGTCTTTGACCTTGAGGAATTGATACTACAGTGGAAAGACAGACAAGTGAGTAGATAGTTGTTAGTATAATCAATGTTATATTAGATGAACAGAATATTATTAGGTGTAGCAGGTCATATGGCTAAGAAGGTAACCAGGTATGGTTTAACTGGCACTTAGTGTGTAAATGGTATGGAAAAGGCATTGATGAATTTGAAGAATGAAAATAATCACATTCAGTGGATTTGAGTGGGCTAAGACTAGAAATTGGGAGAGCAAGCTATTTAGGGTTGTGGGAGGGCAAGTATGGTTTGGGTCTGAACTATATGATGATAATGTGATGAGATGTTTACAGGTCTAAGATGTTAGACTTGGTGATCAATGTGATGTGAGAGATAAAGAAGAAGTATTGTTCTTTGAGTTCTGACTTGGATGATATACTTGTTTATCAAACTAAAGAAATGTAGGAGCAGGTTGAGGCTGGGTGTAGTGGTGCACTCCTTTAATCCTAGTAGAGGCAGAAGGATCTCTGTGAGTTCCAGGCTAGCCAGGGCTACATAGTGAAACCCTGTCTCAAAACAAACAAAACCCAAAAACCATGATGGGTTTAGTTCTGAATTGAAGATGTCTTAGCGAAGACAAATAGTTTAGGTTTAAGATTTGTGTCTTAGGGGAAAATTCTTAGAATTAGAGATTTCTTCATATGGGTAATAATGGAAGTCTTATATATGGGAGAGTATGCATAGTAAAACGATGAGAAAATTGAACATAGAAGTCAAGGAAAAGCAGTAAAGGCAATGACTGTGGAAAGGGTGCCAGCAAAGTTGACTGAAGAGAGGGCTAGAGTGGAGCAGCACTGGAATGAGTGGTGTTTTCATTTCAAACTGTTGCTGTGACAAAGCACTGACCAAAAGCAATGGGAGGAAAGGGCTTATTTCAGCTTACAGGTTACAATCCATCATTGATGGACGTCAAGGCAGAGCCTCAAGCAGGAACTTGGAGCAGAAACCATGGAGGTTGCTGCTCCTTGCTGGCTCATTCATAGGCTCATATTTAGCTGGCTTTCTTCCTTTTCTTCTTTTTTTTTGTGATCTTTTTGAGACAGGGTCTCTTGTAGCCCCAGCTGATCTGCAACTCACTATCTAGACCTGGCTGGCCTTGAACTCACAGAGATCTGCCTTCCTCTGCCTCCCAAGTGCTGGGATTACAGGTGTGGGCCACCATGCCTGGCATTTAGCTGTCTTTCTTATACAGCTCAGGGACATCTGCCCAGGAAGTGGTTCTACCCACAGAGGGCTGGACCCCCTGCATCAATTAACAATCAAGACAATTTCCCATAGTTGCTCACAGGCCAGTCTCATCTGGGAAATTACTCATTTGTTCAGAGGTTCTAGCAAAGGAGCACAGCTACTCATACACTTGACTGAAGACCTGTCCTTGTCTAATGGGAAGGTTGTTCTCTGACCAAGCCACAGCTTCAGGAAGGGCACATGTGGAATGTTGAAGGAGGAAGGGGACACTTGCTCAACCAGAGAGATTGGCTGAATCTACCCTGGTGATTAGTGGGGTGATCCAGAAATTCCTCAGTTGAGACTAGCTAAAACTAACTAGGATAAATGGCATTAAAGAAGTGTGTAAGAGGAAGGAGGCCATAAAAGAAGAAGTGTATCAAAATTGTTCAATGTTAGAAGAGTTTAGATATGTTTGGAAGTCATATATGATTTCCTAGTTAGGAGACCATCCTTTGATAACTTATGGTTGTATGTATTTCATCTCTGAGGTAAACAAAGGTTTTTTTTTTTTTTTTTGGTCTTTTTGAGACAGGATCTCCCTGTAGAATAGCCCCAAGTGTCCTGAAACGCACTGTGTAGACCAGGCTGGCCTTGAACTCACAGAGATCTGCCTGCCACTGCCTTCCAAGTGCTGGGATCAAAGGCATGCATCACCACACCCAGCTAAAAGTTTTTTTTTAATAAGAGAAAAATCCATATTAAAAATATATATGGGAGCTGGGGAGGTAGCTCAGGGGGTAAGTCCACTTACTATATAAACATGAGGACCTAAGTTTAAATGCCCAACACCCATGTAGGAAGCTGAGCGTGGCTGCATGCCTGTGGCACAGAGACAGGCGGATCCCAGTAGCTCCCTGGCCAGCCTGTCTAGCTGAAACAGTGAGGGAACCTGCCTCTAGGTAATAAGGTGGCGAATGGTAGAAGTCCTCTAATGTTACCACCCACATCTGCACATGCACACCAAACGAACAAACAGTCCTCCAAAACCCAGCAACAAAAAACCCACAGAAGCTTAGATTGCAGTAAGAGTTTAGAAATATTTTGACTTTTCTCTCATAGTGTTATGCTTTCCAAATAGGAGTTATAAAGAACTAACATGTAATTGAAATGGTAGTTCATTATTTTTAAATGAGTAATTACCTAGAATTTAATGCATTTATTGATTAAAAAACAGCTGAAAATGAGATAAAACTTCTTTTTGTTAATCTCTTCTAAATTAGTGGGCTTTCCTTCTGATTATAGAATAGTGTGATTTTTTTCTTTTAAGGGATGTAAACACTTAGAGACCTGTTTGGTTAAGGGTATTTTGTAGTTATTTTTAGTAGTATGAAATTAGAAGACACCATTTAGATGCTATTTTTACAAAGGCCCTGATGCTCTTGTAATAAATAATGCTCTAGCGAACTGGGGATCTAGTTCAGTGGTAGGGTGCATGCCTAATATTTAAGAGGCCCTGGACTTGATTTTTAGCACTGCATGCATGTACTCACACATGCGCGCATGCACGCACATTAACAACAACAAAAACCTCAACCAAAACCAAAAACATAACCCCTAAAACAAAACAAAACAGAACAAAAAACCTAAAAATTTTTACAAACTGTTAGATTTTCTTTCTTTCAGCAGTGATGATATTGACAAACACTTGAGTATGTTGTTTGTTTTTTAAAGATAGGGTCTGGCTATGTAGCCCTGGTTAGCCTAGAACTCTCTACGTATCTCTGTCTGGCGTTAAACTCCCAGAGATCCACCTATCTCTGCCTCCCGAGTACTGGGATTAAAGGTATATGTACCTGCTCAGCAGTGACAAGCACTTAAACTAATTCTGTAGTTAAGAGATTAAGATGAGTTTGGATTTTACCGTGCTTTTTACTTGTCTGTTTTCTGTTTTGGATAAAGTTTCATAACAGACAGAATGTTTCATAAACTCTTAATGATGATCCATTTCCTCCTGTAGAAATTTTAGCATCATTTCCACAATATATTAATTCC